ATTTGTGTAAATAACATGAATATCTTGAGTTTGCTGAGGTTCGTTGCTTTTCTGTTTATCGGCAGATGCAAAAATATTTCTTGTTTTGATTTTAGTGAAGAAGTGTTCGATTTCGGCAGCCAAAATCTAACTCAGGCCAAGGAGCAACACTTGAAACAGCAGTTTTGCGGTCAATTCCAGGAAGTTTTCACTCTTTGCATAACAATTCTTGTGAGTCTAATTTGATTTCTCTCAAACTAATCCTGATAGCTTTTACTCGAACTTGTTTAGGAAAAATGTCCTGCAAATTCGATTGTGGAAGCAACACTGAAAACTTTGCATCGTTTTCTTTCATGGATTCCGGTGGGATACGTGTTTGAGACGAACATCACGCAGCTGCTCAGTGAAAACGTAAGAGTCAATATCGTTGCTTGTTTCATCGTTTGATCTTTTGATCTCAGTTTCTGTCACTGGAAGTCTATCGGGTGGTCACGCTCCAATGTTTAACGGAAATTTCCATGATACAAATTGAAGCTGAGGATAATGCTTACAAAGAGAAGCTTTGCGCAATGTTTTGTGCGACCATCAAGGAGGTAAAGTTCTGCTTTTTTTTTATTGAGCAAGCGATGAAAGATTTTCATTAAGATCGGAAGTTTGCTTGGTGAAAGAGCAGATCTTGCTACTGCTTATCAGAAAGGAACCGATCAAGATCAGAAGTTCATCTCATGCTTGGCACAATTCCTTGTGGCGTTCTTGAAGGATCATTCTGCGCTTGTTGAGGTTTGTGATTCATAAAAAGGATGCCCTCCTTCTTTTTTGATAAACATTCTATGAAATTTTGCGAATTCACTTGATTTCGCTCCTTTTTTGTGCTTTTGCTTACGTTTATTCAACAAAATTTGTTTTAAAGGACACACGATGCTTCGTCACGTATCGCGTGTTATCCGTATATCTTGACTATGCTACGTCTTTTTATTTCTGCAAACTTTTTTGTTTCTTAGTCATGCTTCTGTAATCCTTGCATTAATCATGGTGCTTGGGGTTGCTTAGTTGCTGCTTTCGTCACAAGTTCCCTCTGATCACAAGTTTATTCGTCATCCAGTCATATTTTCACCAAAAATTCGTACCGTTTTGCAGAACTACAACCCAGCTTGTCCGCAAGTCACAGAATATCACAAATACGCCATAGAACTACTTCTTTCAATCAGTCAAGTCGAAGACGTGGAAATTTTCAAGGTTAGTCATCTTTTTTCGTATGTCTGTCATGTGCGCGATGTCATTTCCATCTTTTTATTAGTCTGGACATAATTTGTGACTTTTCATACCAGGTAGTGCAGATCCAAAGTGTTAATTTAGAAAAATTTTGAGTGAGCAAGTCAGAATTTCGAGTTAGAAAGTGGTCCTAATTAGACATTTATAAATGGAATGGGATGACATTAGTCTCCCTTCTAGTGAAATTCTTTTAAAGGCAGCGTCCAGGCAAATCTGGACATGTGGGGCC